AAAAAAAACCTATACTCTTTCGGAAGAAAGAACATGAAATTAAACCTATGCTAGATCGTTGTAAAACAGCATTATGATACTTCCCAAGTTTACGGAGAAAATATATACAACCTTTTAATCCACAGTCATATTTAAACTGGCAGTTCCAGGTTCGGTTGTCCCTCGCATGAGCTGCCAGTGTAAGCACAGATTGCTTCTTTTTTGTGTGCGTCATCGATTTTCCTGCGATACGGAGATTGTTCTTATGAAAGGGTGCTCGTCTTAACTCTGAACTTTTGCTAGTCACCAGTAGGGATCATATTCAGGTTTCGCTGGTCCATTTTTTTCATCATCCACTTCTTGATATTGAGGCTCAGGTTGTTCTTTGTTGCAGCATTGATCTTGGTCACAGACTGCTCGACGTTCGTTGGAACGCAGAAGGTCCAGAGCAACACGATTCCAGTTTTCATCCGTTACCTCAACATCCGTATACTCACAAAACAAAGGACGTGTTAATTCTTTACCTTGAGATCCTTCATGCCAGCTTGTATCTCCGTTTGAAGTGTGTGGACTTCCCTAAGCATGACGATCACAGCTACGACGCATGAAATAACTAGCAGCAGCACGGCAAGAGAACCAGCGATAATGAGTCTTTTCATGTCTTCAAATTATAGTGGCAGTGTACGAAAGTATTTATACGAACGAGTGGAGCTACAAACTTCAGCGCGACGTGACTGATAGAGCGGTGAGAAAAATAATAGGAGGAACGCATTTTTCTCGTTATGTGAAGTTTGTCTCGAAGAGTTTTTCCAGATTCCAATGATTTGCTACCGCACACATATGTGGCGTCTCGTGGAACTTGTATTGACAAAAAGGGAATGACGCAGCAGGTCTTGCGAGTGATGCAACTATCAAACTCTAGCAATACTACTAATAAGATAATCGTGGAGACTCTTTCGACAAAAATAATGAGAATAGCATCAATCTAGTAGCATGAGGAACATAAAATAATCACACAACGATTAACTGTCTTTCACCATGTACATGTTTGTTGAGATTGCAGAACTGTTCTTATGTATGTGCATATCGTCATTTTGTGTTTATCCACATGCATCTGCATTTGATAACCAGCATCCCTGCTCCCGTTCGCGTCATAGTGCTAAATACAGCAGTGCAAGAGGAGCAGAGCTCTGTCAGAAATGAATACGCTTACCTTTGCTTTCCTCAGTTGCTGTATCCTTCGCTCTAGGCACTTTGCTGACCTGCCTGGCCCTTCATTATTTGAAAGCATCCTTGCCGCGAGCTACTGCAGCAAGCCTAGCTTCAATGCGCACGACTCGACCCTGAGTTACCGCGTCAACAAACCTGACCCTTACTAATGGCCTGCATGCTTCTATAAACCTTGA